CATCCCTCTAAAACTTTATATTAAACACAGCTGGTAGGTTATCTGGCATTGTATCGTCTGTTTGTGTTTTATTAGTTGATCAAAAGGATGATATCGGAGACCTCCAGCGGCGGTGTCACTGCAAACGATGTCATTATGCACTACACTCTCCCAGATCTGCCCTTCGGTGGAGTCGGTGAGTTACAGGAACTCTGTGTAATAAACCATGAGTGTGCTGTGTAGTCCTGCTCTCTGTATCTTAGCCACTGGTTCTTTCTAATGATCACGTGACTGATCAGAGCCTTGGAGTTCTGTACAGCAGGCCCCTCGTCCCTCTTAAATAAATACAGACAGCAGGTTCCCGTAGAAAGGTGCTGGCCTGAATTCCCCCCGCTTATCCTCAGAACAGGTAGACACGCACCCATAGGCAGCTTCCAGCACACCCACATGTGCTGCACCAACGTTCCTCCACCCTGGCCTGGAATGACCTCTTCTGCAGATGAGCCGCTAACACCGTTTCCAGGCCCATTCAGTCCTTGGTCCCTCTGCTGAGAGTGCCATCAAGGGGTCCTGGTGTGGTGCAGACACCGGTTCTCTGGGAATGGGACTTAGACCCCCAAAGGTTTGACAAAGGGCAGGTTACTGAAGAGGAGTTGGGTTTCGAAAGGAACTTGTCTACGGTGCATATTCTGTGTCTTTGGCACTGCTAGCCTGGATGTGCCCAACGGATTAACTTGCCCAACCAACTGCGTGCTAACTAGTGTGTGTGTTGACACATTCAGGGAACAGTGGAATGGGCAACTACCATGGCAGACACAGCTTTGAGACCTTCTCCCATCGCCGCTCCTGCTTAATTAAGTCTCTGACGATGGAAAGTGTGAACAAAATCCGGTACCCGCCAAACAGTCAGAGGAAGCTGGACTGGGCCAAGTTCTTCTTCTTGAAGCGATTTAACAAAGGCCGCCTGGGGCTCATTGCCCTGGCCCTGCTGGGAGCCATCCTGGCTGCGGTGATAAAGGTGAGCTTTGGGGCTCTGGTTTTCTGTACCATTGTGTGCTTTCAATGAGGGTTTATTTCTGAGCCCAGTGAGCGCATGGAGGTCCCACTTCCCAGCCTTGCTCCTCTCCTGGAAGCTGGTCTACTGTAACTTTTGAGCTGAGATCTGTGTGAAAGCAGGGCCAGCCAGAAGCCCTCAAATCTGCTTCGATCTCACTTAGGCTAGCAGGATCCAAACCGGTAACAGGGCTGAGCTGATTCTTGGGCAAATCCTCTGAGTCTGCTAGGCCATTATTGCTCTAATTTGATGCGTAATGTGTGAGAAACTGAGTCCTCCTCCTGAAGAACGGGTTGGGACATGGCTAGATGGGATCTGCAAGAGCTGCTTCCACCACTCTTTCCCCATTAGAGCTTTCTTTGGGAGTAGTTGGCTGGCTGGCTGCCTGGCTAATGAACTGAATATGTGGCATTTGTAGCTGTGCATTGCTTACAGGGATACTGTGGAGGGGAAGGTTGGCTCTTTGCTCTGCTGCAGACAGCCCATGTAACCTTGGACAAATCACTTCTCCATGTGGATGTGGGGCTACCTCTGCACTACACGCTGCCTTGGGGGAAGTGAGGGTAACCAGGGGCTGCGTGTGCTGTCATGCCACACAGCATAATGTCAACCCTAACTTGTGAATCTTTCCTGCCACAGCCTGGGTAGACTTGCGGGCTGAGGGGAAGGGTAATACTAGATCAGCATGTCAGTAAAGACTGGTTGAATTGGAATTGCCATTGGGGATCACATCCACTGTCCCTCTAGTGCCGTATCCTGTCTGACCATGGCCAGCCAGAGATGCAAGATCCCCACATCAGGCAATTGCAGGCTAATTGTTGCCCACATTAGGTCTCCACTCGTCAGAGATTGGCTTGAGCCCCGAAGCACACGGTTTTCTGTCCCTTCCCGAATTCTTTGTTACCGTGCATTATGAGATGAGGTCCCTCTTAAACTACTGTGCCAGTCTGTGACCAACTCTGTCTTTGAAATAAAACCTTATTCTACCATCTCCCCGCACCTCATTACGTGCCGGCTCAGTGAAGAGGGCGACGTTTGGGTTTTCCCAGAATCAGTGGCCTGTGCTGAAGAGAAAAGCCCTGTGTGGTGTCTTGGCACTGCAGACACTGTGCTGGCTCAGTCATCGCTCAGGAGCAGCAGGTTTCAAAGCCCAGCTAGTCCTGCTGAAGCAAGATAGGACTTTCCTTGTGTGGCGTATTACAGACCCCGCTTGTAGAGGGCGGAATCTTTCAGAGCCGTGGATGTGGGTACTGCGTGGAGTGATGCAGGCTTTCCTTCTGTCCATCACTCTGACTCTTTACCCTTACAGCCTGGTCACATGGGGTTGTGAACAGCTGATTCTTCTCTTGCATGCAGCATCTAGGCTGTGGATTCTACACCGTACTCAAAATAAGAGTCAAAAGGGGGTGAGAATAGGGAATAAGAGACTGACAAGGGGGCCAGGAAAAGCAGTGCCTATTGGATCCAGAGTCTGTTCAAGTGGGGAATGCGCACCCACCTTTGTTAATATCTAGGAGTTGGAATTTATTCCATCTCTCTGCTGAAGTTATACAAGATCTTTCTTTGCCTTCACAGGTGGCCTACTCTTGAAGAAAAGAAGTGACCTGACCTGCTATAACCAATCCGCAGTACTTGTACTCTGAGCGCACACTTTATGTAATGACCTTTTTCAACTTGAGAGTTTTACTTTTTTTCTATGAAATATTAAGGGCACAAAGCAATGAGAAGTAAAGTAAGAATGCACTAGCTAGTAACAGTGCTGGGGCTAGCACTTCATGTTGATTTGAAAAGCCATGCGGCAATACAGGGATTAATGCAGCAGTGGGCATAAAGTATTGGTCATGCAACCAGCGAGAAGAGAACTGCAAAGCAGGAAGCAGCAGCACCCTCCGTTGCTACTCCATGCTGTATCAAGACCATGCTTATGTCTTCTCAGGACTGTCACCTCCTGAGCTCGCCCAGTCTTTGCTGGAGAAGTAGAACTTGGGCTTACGTTTCAGTCTGTTAGCCATCACCGTTCAGTTCCTCCAATGATTTTTCCAGAGTCCTCCAAAAAGAGGGAAATCAGGACCTGATACACTTAATGTAAAGAGTAAAAGCCCAAAATAAAACAGAGGTAGCCTTTTTACATCTTAATGGGCAGATACATTTTCTTTAGAGTTCTTCCCTTTTATGGTACCTGCCAGGTGTTGTTGCAAGTATCTTCCACACCTTGTAATTAGTCTTCTATGGCTTCCTTTCTGGTGTGGTGGAGACAGATTTTACTAATACTCAAGACTAATTCTGACTAAATGTACATTGAGGCTGCTGCTCACCTTCTAACCCAGGACATGTATCCCTAGAATCTCCCCCAGAAAAAAAAAGATTGTCCACTCGTTAGCCCTGTGATTTAATCTGACCGCACATTCAACTGGCTGCAGCTTCCAAAGTGAAAGACCTGCTACAACTGTTAGAGGGTTGCAAGGTATCTGTCTTGTAATGCTGCAGTCACCTGTGCTCCTATCTGCCCGGCTTGCCTTTTGTGATGCAGGGGCTGTGTTTAGAGCATTAGGAACTAAAGAATTCACTCTTGACATATTTCTATTTGCTGCTGGAGAGAAGCCAGAACATACTTTCAAGTGAAGTATACCTTATCTTATGAAGACACCAGTTAATTAACAAGGGACCTATTTCAGCTGAAGGGGAAGAGATTGGATAAACTTAAGCACTAGAAGAGGTTCCAACTTTTTAAAATAAATATTTTTAAACAGTATATTTTCCTTATTATTAAATTTAACTAAAGAATTTATATTGAAAAATTATTTGCCTTCTGTTCAGTAGCTGGAAATGTATGCTGTTTAGTTAAATTGATAGATTTTGAAAGTACTAAATAAACACTGGCTGACAAACAAGAATGAATGGAGCTTGGTTGGCTCAATAGAGGAGGCAATATAGATAAGTACCTGAGAGGGAGTCAGGAAACCGGGGTTATGTGCAGTTCTGCCACTGATTCCAGGCAAGGCTCTTCACCCGACTTTCCCCATTTGTAAACTGGGAATATTTCCCCCCCAGAACAAGCCCTTTGACCTCTAGGTGAACAGTGCTCTGAGGGGTAAGTTATTACAGATATTAACCTTTCATGCTCTGTCTGTTAGTATAGCCTGGTGCTGGGTATGACTACAGGTTAGGGAGGGAGCCAGCAAAACTCTACTGGAAGCTTCATGCTCGAGCTACCCATATTATTGAAATCTCCTCCCTGCCCATAGAGAGGCGTGAGGTGAGGAAGAAAGAGATCTGCACACACTGTTCCTCTGTCAAATGATTTGATGCTAATGCAAACTCCTTTGGAAAGCTGTTCCTTCCATGACAACTGTCTCTCCCCGTATGGAGCAGTCCTTTCAGGCAGCATGCATCTGAAGCAGATACACCACTCTGAGAGCAGAGATGGAGAATATGCTCTGAAGAGGTTCACAGCTAACTAGAGCTCAGTGATTGTCTTCTGCCGTGGCAGCCAAACACCAACATGAATTTCAAACCAGAGGAGCCATTGCAATACCCTAACTGGCAGCTTGAGAGATTTATTCATCATTAAATGCCATTTAATCACCATGCCAGCAGTCCTGTACACACAAGCTATTGCTGCTGCTATCTGATCACAAGCAATAAAAGTTCACGGTGGTGATAAGTTATCACTGCTTGCACTTGAGAAGCTGCTGCGGGTAGAGAGGGGCAGTCCTCCAAAGTATTTCCAGCCTGTTCAGCCAGCTGTGGGATGAGATTCCCATAGCAGCCTGTGGCCGGTTCCAAGGGCACCAAGTAGAGCAACTCATACTGCTGGTCAGTTCTACTTCTGAGGAAGTGGGATCTTTGCCCTTGCTGTGACAGTAGGACCTGTGGAGCGTTAGTCGTCTGTAGCTGGGTCCATGTTTCAGCTACCGAGTGAGCCAGAAGGGGCCTCCTTCCCTTTATCCACACCCCTAGCGTGACGCTAGTGGTGGATAGTAATGACCCTTATTAGAATACCTACTGCGAGTACAGCAATAGCTGCGGTGACGGCCAGCCCGCGCCGTATGATCAGCTGCTTCACAGACAGCATTTCACCCACAGTGGAAAGGGCAGGCGTGGCTTCCTGGAGCGTTAGCTGGTACGTCTGACCCTCGTTCTTAGTGATGCGCGTCAGAACAACGCCGTTCGGAGCTTCTGCTTCCACTGCAACACAGCGGGGGGGGGGGGGGGGGAAGTGGTACTGCTCAGGCTGTAGAACTGAGTTGCCAGCTGGTAGCACTAGGACAGCCGGCAGAGACTTCACAAATGAAACTGCTCCCTGGCCCAGTGCTGAAGATATCTCTCTGGGAGCACTGTCCTTAAACTGCTTCCTTACAACCCAGATGATCCCCTCCTCTTCTGCCTTTACGCCTCAATTCCCATTCTTCTAGCTGGTGTTTCCCTCCTCTCCAAAGCCCGCAGGAAGAGCCCTGTGCCCGCCCCTCAGTACAGGGTGCAAAGGAAAATAGAGCTGAGCAGACCGAGCACTTATTAGAAGTAGGAGGGGTTTTGCTGTCTGCTCTTTAAAACCCGTTTATTGTTTTAAGATAAGCTGGATTGCAGGCCTGCTGCAAAAGGGAACAGGCTCCACCCTCCCAGGTGCTGTGGGCTCAGCTTACTGCTGCTGGTGCCTAGAAATTCCACTTGGTGAGCAGCCTAGATCTTCATGGGTTGAGAGACAGCAGCTCTAAACCAGCACGGGCGAGAGTCCACTCAGTCCAGAGCTATGCGGCGACACCCTTAGTTTCCCTGCAGGTATGTCAGGTTTCCACATTGGGACTTGAGGGTTCCTTTCCTAACACTAGCCCTAGCGTGGCTTGCACTGTCACTAGTGCAGAGCATGGTAATGCTGCTTTTACCCATTATATAATCAACGCACTTAAAATCAGCTTCCCCCAAACTGCTTAGACACGTGCACACACACTGCCCAACATACCTGCCGAGAACGGGAGTGATTTTAGTTAGCTACCCACTGGGCAGCACTTCAGTTACTCAGGAGTCATATATGTGCTACCTGAACATCTGCAGGTCACAATTAGGGTGACCAGATGTCCCGATTTTATAGGGACAGTCCTGATTTTTGGTCTTTTTCTTATATAGGCTCCTATTACCCCCCCACTCCCTGTCCTGATTTTTCACACTTCTTGTCTGGTCACCCTAGTCACAATATTAGGCCATTAGTAAATCAACCCTGTTCCCTACCAGAGGGGAGCGCCATCTTGTGTGAGACAGGAGCTGAGTTCAAATCGTTGCTGGCCAACTGGCTCACACCCGCCCGTTGCTGAGCCTAGGAACAGAAACACACTGTACAGTACTCAGACGATCACTGTTATATGCAGCAGGTTGGAAGGGAAAATGTATTTGTCTTAAAAAGCAAGTTTTACTATCACCTTTCAGATATACAGTTTGTCTCACAGGAGCTATTACTGCCCGGCCCTGAGATTTGTGTTACATGAATATGGAGCTTTTGCTGGCGTGGATGTTGTGAGTAAAGAAAGAACCCAGAGAGCAAAGCCAGACCAAAAAGTATCCAAGGGCTGAGAGGTTTAAGTTGCTTGTGTGTGTTTTATCCAAACTGGTTTGCTCATGAGCTCTCTATCCAGAGTTGGCATTAAAACCCCGCAAGGACCCAGTGAGTTATAGGTAACCTGAACTGCTTTAAACTATATATGAAAAACTAGCAGGAGCCCAAATCATGAATAGAATCTCTGGCCACACCAACCCCTTGCATTAAGCCAAAATAGCTACAGATCAGTTTTCATGGTGCTGTCCAGCCTTCTCCTGCAACATGGAAGCACTCAGCAGTGCGGGGTCTGGCACCTTTTGCTGGGCTTTGTGTGCTCAGGCTGGCAGCAAAGGTTGCAGGAGCTCCGTGGAACTCAGAACAGGGCCAGGAAGAGGCCTTCCTTCCCTTCCCCTTTAACCACATGGCCAGCTGGCTCCCTGCCATGGGAACAGAGCGATCCCACTCGTGGTTAACGCGTTGAGAAGAGTGACTGGGGAGGCCCCTAAAGGAGTAACTGATTATTGATTAGTCAGGAGGGATAGATACGGTGACGAGTGTTAGCCAGTCATCGTGATTCTAACATTAATATTTAGTCAGAGCTGTTAAAGGCACGAGTGGCCAATATGGCGGCATACCAGGGCAGAGAACCTCACCCAAGGGTTGCACTGAGCCCACTGCTGCTGTCTAAGTCACCGCTATTCAGGGACCCGAAGATGTTTCACTAATAGGTCTGCGCCATCACCCCCGGCCCCCCACTTGTACACATGCCAGATACAACCTGCAATACACTAAAGTAAAGCTGGTTACCTCCTCGGAGACCCTTTTCCAGTTCATCCGCCCAATGTAGATGACGGAGCAGCTGGCTGGGATAAAGGCGCTGATCAGCAAGCCGACCCAGAGGCCTGGGAGAGGAAACGCTGGCGTTAACCGGACGCACTCGCTCGGTCCCCAGATGAAAGCTAGGGTGGCAGGTGCTATAGAAACACTTCAGATGGAATCTCCTCCTGGCCCTGCAAGCCTGCGTCTCCCGCTGCTTTGCTGCCTACACACGCCCAGTATGGGCCCGAACACTTAGGATTGGGCCACCAGGGAACTGGGGAATTGCTCCGAATTGCTCCTGCCATATGCTTGGCCTCGCTGTACCTGGTGGGGAGCTGCGCAACACTGCCACCTAGTGGCCACTGCTGCATAGTACAGTCAGGGCCCTTAATACTACACCTGCCTGCTCAGGTGGCTCCTCCCCAATCCTAGGAGGGACTCCCAAGGGAAGATCCAGGCCCAAAGGAACCCAGCCAGGGAGAGGCCCTGAGCGGCCCAGCCAGCCTAGGGGATCTCCTGTTTCTGCCAGACTCCCCCAGGTAAGGAGGGAAAGGGGGTGTTAACCAGCCAGGGTGTAGATGAATACGGTGGTGGGAGGGAGATGGAAGGGGGGGGGGCTGGAGAGGACACTGGTGTTGAAGCCGAGGTTGGGTTGTGGGGGGGAGGGAACTAGGGGGGTTGTGGGGGCGGCCGCAGCCCCTGGCTTGAAGTGGTTTCCATTATATACAGGGTTTGCAGTTTGGGTCAATGGCTCCCAGCACCCCTGGGGGGTGGGGAGGAAGAGATGCATTTTTTGGGGGGGAGATGGAATTTTTCTTGGGCTGTCAGACAGCGATGGAACTGTTCTGGGAGGCGGGGGGTGCGAGATGTGGGCTGTGAGGGGGTTGGGTTTTTGGGGGGGCTGGAGGCTGGATGGAATTTGGGCTGTTTCAAGGAGGGGCGAAGGGACAGAAGACAGCTCACTGGGGTCCCTTCTGGCTTTGGAATCGTTGCTTCTAAAGCACATTTCAGCTGAGTTTAGTATGCACCAAACAGGCGCAATGTCCCAAACCCACTCCCTCGAAACCCACCCCCGGCCTCCGACCCCACCCCTCTACCAACACCAGCCAGCACAAGGACGGTGTAACCTTTCGGCGCATTTTAAAGGCAAAAAATTTTTTACCCCGGGGGAAAAAAAAAAAAAAAAGCAGGCAAGAGACATGGCCAAAGGCAGGGTAACGACTCAGCCCTGCTCCTGGGACACGACCAGAGGCGTCTAACCTAGAACATCTGGAGCTGGGCTCGTTTTGCCCTGGGATTTTGGCCTCTGTATTTCCAGGGCTAAAGGGCCAATTCCCTTTCCCCCCCTTCCGATGTTTGTACCTATCATTCCAATCCTGGCCACGAACAACAGCACGCTTCCCAAGGGCAGGCCCACGGCGTAGTAGCCAACAGCATTCAAGATCGCGCCGATCTTCTGCTTCCCCACGCCTCTTAGCACGCCGCTGGTTATGCACTGCAAGGGGGGAGGACAAGACGACTCTGAAGGATGTGTGCTGGTTGCACTAAGACCCCTAGGCTCGGTGCCCACACATATTGGTTGCTTTACTTGTCCTTATTGACCCCTATCGAACCCCGGGGGGCGGGGGGGACGGGACACCCTCACCACAGCTGAGCCCTCACTTCATGGCTGGTTGCAGCCAGGCAGCTGGTAACCCCTGGAAGCTTGTATAACAGCCTCGCCCCAGGAGAACCTGCTTTCTTCAATCCAGCCCCTGGCAGCCATGGGCTGCTTCCAAATGACCACGGTTTGTCTCTCTTCTGTACTCACTGCTCTGTCTCCTGCTCACAGACGATCCACACAGTAATTCCTGTAGGCCCAAAGGTAGGGAATGTTTCCTGCGTTCCTTCCCTTCTTTCCCCATACCTACCCCCTCCCTTCCATCTGAATGCACCATAAACTATTAGCCCTGCTATTACATGATTTTCCTTTTGGCCAGTTTCCCCATTACATCGGATGTATTCGTTCCTCCGAGTCCGTCCCTAGGGCCTGTGAACTTGGAGGCAGACATTACTCAGGCTCTTAGCCATGAGCTCTGAATTCTCTCCTTGATCAACCTGGAACTGAATCCCACCAGTGTCAGAAATACCATCTGATAGCAAATGCAGCAGCACAGCTAATTCCCTGAAGTACTTACACAGCCGGCTTCAAACACGTGGACGGCCACGTACACTGGCATAACCCAAGCCACCAGGGCAATGATCTCTCTGTTTGAGGAATGAAGGAGGCAATCAGGCTTAGAAATAAAGTGCATCTGTCACAGCTCAACTAATTCGTGCCCCTAACACATTGCTGCATTCTGTACAACCTGCTGACCCTCGCAGGCTTGCACCAACGTGCCCGGAGAGAGACTTGCTTACAGCACACGCTTTACAGTGCAACCGAGCCCAACGGTACTACAGGGCCGTACCGCAGGCTGGGACTAAACTGTGAGTTACAGGAAGTTCTGAGCCTCGTTTCTGCTGCTGCATTGGGAAAAGTCAGCCGCTCATAAATCGCTTTTCGCCCTCGGCTGGCTGGCCTTCAACCAGCGATTGAGGGTTTCGGGCGTCTTCGTGTGTGATCAGGAAAATCAGTTGGGCCGGGTGGCATCTGCACCGCCCTGCTAACTACGCTTTTCACAGCAGGCTTTCCCCTGTGACTTGATCAGCTGACGTCTCCCGAAACAAAATTCACTCTGATTCAAATCAAGAGGAACATACACCAAGGCGCGCTCTCTTTCGAGGGAAGCCCGGGTCAGATGCAGCATCATTTTTCCAGTGAGATCCCGGCTTTGTACTCGGATGACTAAGGGAGACTGAGCGTAGGAGAAGGCAAGTGTGTCCACCCCATGCGTTAAGGTCCCCTGCAGTCACTGGGAACCTTTCCCCTGACTTCAGTGGGCTTGGGAGCAGGCTCTTCTAAGCCTCCAAACAAGTCTTCCCTTGGCTCAATCTTTAATAGTGACTTGTCATCTTTGTTCTGAAAGGACTGTAGTACCGATCGGAGCAACTCACCTGTCACTGGTAAATATGTATCCCAGCACATCCTTTGTGGCTGCTAATATGACGCCCACCACCAGGCAAAGAAACCCTGAAAAGCAGAGTCAGGAGTCAGTCGAACAGAGCAAGCACAAGCTGACGACTACGTGAAACCCAGTTCCTGTCAGAGCCTGAGCAACCTGGCTCAGGCCACAAGCGTAAACAAAACGGGGGCTGTCACCCTGGTCCCTAGGTGTGCAAATCACTAAATAACTGCAGGCGGTCCGGCTGAATCCCACGACTGCAAACAACAGGACGCTGCAGGGGAGAACTGAGGTGCAACTGGCACAGATCGGTGTAGGAAGCTTGCAAAAACAGCTGCCCTTGCTATGCCCGGCACTAGGCAGAGCCATGAGCGTCTCGCTTTGACTGGCACCGGAGCATGTGGACTGAGCCCCCGCTCCCTGGCCACCGAGGAGGGGTGGAGCCAGTGCAGAGTCACCTACCTGTGCACAGCATGCTGGTGGTGGAAGATCTCTTGGCCTCCTCTATGTTCCCAGCGCCCAGCGCGTTCCCCACCTGAATGCTGACGGCTATGCTGAGTCCGTAGTGAATCTGAAATCCCAAAGCACCAACACACGTTGGTCTGGGGAGGGGACGTCGTGGGCGACAGCGACCCAGGGGGACAAGTGTTACAACCCCTCCAGCCGAGACAATCGCTCGGAGGCGGCCGTGAGCTCATGAAAGTGAATGTGGAGAGAGCTCTGCAGAGCAGGAGGCAAAACTTGAGGTCGGGCAGAGGGAGGGGCTACAGCCAGGTGTAATCGGTGCCCGGGCAGGGGCTCTCATCCTGCCTCTGACCCCGATTCCCATCTGTGAGCTTGGGCAAGTCACTTCACCTCCCAGCCTCAGTTTCCCCATCTGTAAATAAGGGAGAACACTGGCCTGCCTGACGGCTGGGGAGTACTGATAACGTCTCTCTAAACCCCAAACTGCTGGGTATTATGGATTGACAGGCCAGGAGCAGGAGACAGGCACAGGTCTGGGCACTTGTGGAAGCTGGGCCCAGGAGCCAGATGTGGGACATGTTTGGGACTGACTGTAGCTAAGGCTAATAACTTCAGTCTGAGTGGCTGTCTGGTGACAGGCGTTGGTGTCGTTCTGCCTTAGGCTGGTGGCCTCTAGCGCCATCAGGGCTAGTTAGGGGCTGGCTCCGTTTGCTGGATGAACAGGTTTAAGGAACGGTGTAGAAGGTGCCTGGGGGCTGCTGCTAGGCTTGTGAGTCCCTCCTCGCCCCCACGGAGCATCTTCCTGGGAATGGCCGGAGCAGCTACAAGTGAATGCAGATATTCGCCCCTCTCGACTGAGCCTGGGACTCAGATCTGGCGTTGACTCCCTGCTCTGCCACCAGATGCCCTGTGCGACCCTGAGCAAGTCTCGCTGGGCCTCGCCCCCCACCCTGCCCACTGTGGACACTTCCTCTGCCTATTTCGACCGTAAGCGCGTCAGAGCAGGGGCTGTCTCGCATGGCTTGTCAGCGCCCCGCACAATGGGGGGCTCTCTCGGGGGGGGCCTTTAGGTGGTGCAGGAACGTAAATAATAACCCCGAATTCTTACCATGTACGACACCGTGGACACCTCATAAATGATGGATTGTGCGGAAAGCTCCACTACGCTCAGCAGGCCTGAATTCGGGGGGAAACGTCAGAATTGTGTCGTTTGCTCCCCAGAAAAGGAGCCTTTTCAAGAGGAGGTGAAACGTCAGCAGATCGGTGGCTCTCAACCGGTCCGGACTCCCTTCAGGAGGCTGCTTTGTCTTGCGTACCCCAAGTTTAAAAACTCCCTCACTCAAAAACTACTCGCCTACAACATCCCACACAAAGATACACAAGTGCCACAGCACGCTAGTGCTGAAAAACTGCTGCTGTTCTCCTTTTCACCGTATCATTATAAACTAAATCGACTGGAAGATAAAGACTGTACTTACATTTCAGTGTATAGTCTATAGAGCAGTGTAAACAAGTCATTGTACGAACTTTTAGTTTGTACTGACTTCGCTCGTGCTTTTTATGTAGACAGTTGTAAAACTAGGCAACTATCTAGCTGGGTTGATGTACCCCCAGGAAGACGTCTGAGTACCCCCAAGGGTACATGTACCCCTGGTTGAGAACCACTGTGGTGATCCTCCTTGGGGATGATATTTCTAGCACCCCATCAACATGCTCCTCCCATCACTAACCTATCAGGAAGCTTCCGATTTCGTAGGTCCACCACTCGATGCATATCATGAGCATGCTGGGCACAGCCAGAGCGATGAAGGTGTCCCACTCCTGGAGGCACTCGCTGGACCAGCCTGGGACAAGAAGATGAAGGGTGTAAAGAGTCAGCCTGGGGGGTCAGCACATGGAGAACCAGGAAGTGAAACTGACTGGGTCTATTTTCACTTTCCAGAGCAAGCGAAGTGCAAAGAGAAAAAGCCCCGATTCAGATGCACCCAAACTCCAAGAGCGTTTGGAGTTGGCCCTAATCTCTTCGGGGCCTAGGCCATGTTAGAGAGAGTGCTAGGGACCAGGTTGGACATTTCTGTAAATCCCAGGGGGAAACTGCCACCCTTTCTGTACTCAATGGGCCCTCCCAAGCCGCGCTGTAACCTCAGCAGGAACTCCAGCAAGGGCGAGTGTGCTTTGTCTGTTAACACATCCCAGTGGGCCCAGAGAGCCCTAAGTGACACTCTCAAACCAAGACCCCAGTTCTACGGGTGACTCCTGCACCCGCGCAGAACAGCCAGCAGGATGGGACGGGTGCTGTTCTGATGGCAGCACGGGGACCTCTGGCAGCTTTAGAAGCGAGGTTCAGTTCCCCAGGAACGCTGCTCACCGACACGACTTTCTTTCCAGGCTCACCCAGCATTTGTGATACGCTCTGTCGATCTGAGCTGTAACTTACACAACGCGGCATCTGGCAGACAGGCTTATACCAAGGTTAATATTAACCCTTCTCACCCACGGAATTAAAATCAATGGAAGGGGAGCTGAGAGGGTCTCCCATGGGAAGCAGAGAGTTTTGCAGACACACGAGAGCATAACAGAAAGATACTACACCTCCCCAGGTCTCCACATGGAGCTTCTTTGCAACAATGTACAGGAACAGGAAGATGGCTTGAGTGTACTGAGCAATAGTGTTTGCCCAGGCGGAACCCCTGCAAAAGGGACAGAGAAAGCCAGTTGGACTTTCTGCTCTTGGAGAGAGCCCTGTCTCGCCGGCAGTTGCTCTAGCTGCAGCTAAAGCCTCACTTAGGAGCTGAACCGAAGACACTTGCGCAGACGACAAGAGCATCTCGCCCACTCCACACCCAGCGTTGCATTGCTGAGCGGGTACTCAGTGAGTGGGGAGTTCACCTCCCTCTGAAGCGTTAGGAATCGGTCCCTTCAGGGGGCAGAATGCTGGGGTGGATGGACTAGACTAGCACCCCACCTGCTTATCCTCACGGGCTGGTTTGCTACGGCACGAACATCTCACTAGGTACGATCTGATTGGCTGGGACTCCCTATCCCAGAAGGCTCCATGGAACCCTTTGCTACCAGTCAGTTTCCAGCTGGCGTGTGTATATTTGCCCTGTGCTTTTACCCAGATAAATGACTCCGTCCTACAACAGCACTTTCCATCTCCCAAGCATTGCACAAACAGGAACTCACAGCTGCTTCACTTCCTACGCTAATGCTTTTGGGTCCTGAAGTCCTGCCTCCGTCACAGCCAGTGCTGAGAGAGCAAGTGGGGGTTTTACAGAGAAAGGACGTCAGGGCAGTGTCTGTTCTGTATCTGGTGAACGTACCCAGTGAGAGGGGACTGCATTTCTGCAATGGCCAATGGGATCCCTATGGATCGCCTCAGGGCCTGGTTTTCTGGATGAAGAGAGCTAGTCATACCACTGGGCCAAATATTGGGCCCTTGCTTGGTTTTATCCTTTAAGCAAAGTCCCACTGGCCTCAGCTGGAAACCATGTGCAAGTTAAGAGAGCTTTAGTATCCTCTAGAGATCCAAGCTGTGTCTCAGTAGCCATCCGTGACCGTCACATTTGTTCACTTGGGCCAAGATTTTTCAAAAGTGGCTAATGCTTTTGGGTGCCCAACTTGAGACACCTGTAAAGGGATCTGATTTTTCTGAAGTGCTGAGCATCTGGTCTCTGAAAAACCAAGCCCCTTGAAAGGAGGTCTCAAGTTGGCCCCCCAAAATCAGTACCACTCAGGATCGAGCCATAGCTGGACATCTAGTTTCTGTCTTCCAAATATTCAGGCACTACTCACATGACTCCGAGGTCCAGCACGTAGATAAAGACATAGTTTGCAATGGCATTTATGATATTTCCAGTGATGCCACTTAGCACCTCCGGCCAGATTATCCTCTGAAATTAAACAAAATACAGATATGTGTTTTTTTCCAGGGCTCCTGGATTTTTGTTGCCTTGTCTAAAATATAAACATGGCTTCTGGAGAAAGGCGTATGTTCGTGCTTCACCAATCTGTTCAATACCAAACTCTTGGGTAGCAATGGAGGCAGATGGGAGTGGGGGAGTGACCGGGGAGGGTAGAACTGGTGATGCTGTGGTGGAATTTTATTCATGAGAGCAGCCTTGTATTTGAGGGGAAGTAGCTCTGTATTCTGATTGGCTAGGAGCCTCCAGTTGTATCAGAATTATTGCTCTTTACAAACACCATTCAGGAAGCAGCGGGTTGAGTGGTGAGAGCAGGAGATCTGAGTTCTGTTCCCAGTTCCATCATTAACTTGCCGTGTAATCCTGGGCAAGTAACGTAGGCCCAGATTTTCAAAAGGGGCCTCTAATTTAGGGTACCTTTAGTCTGTAGGTGCCCAAAATCAGAGCCCCAAGGCCTGATTTTCAGAAGCACTGAGCACCCATAACCCCTTTG